TTCTTTCAGTAGGACTGAAGCAAGGTATAATGCTTTAATCACTTCAGCGCATGGGGCAGAACCAGAGGGTAAGGGAGGTAAAGAGATCTGTCATTTTCAAGTGAAGGAAAAGAAAACAAAAAAATCACACATAAAAAGCTTTGTAAAAAACATTAAAGTTATTTCAATGCAGGAATCGCATTGAAAATGTGACAGTGGTAGCTGCAGACTTTCATAATATATGCATTTGCAACAGCAGCTTTAACGCTGGCATTTCCTGAGTCCTTGATTTTGCAAACTTAATTCTGATGATGTTAAAAACTTAACACATGTGCATCAAACCAAAAAGCAAACAAATGAAACAACACCTCCTACCAGAGCAAGCCCTGTACAACACTACAAGAGCTTTCTCCTATGCATAGACCTTCTCAGTGAAACTGTTTTAAAATGTCTCTCTATTTTTTTTTTTGGCACAGACAAAATAATAGTCTTAGCCTTGTTCCAGAAGTGGCTGAACTGTTTTAGTGGATATTAGTGAAATTTTCAGGCCACACAGTTAACATCTGGCAAATAAGCAACTCAGAAAAGAATCTTAGAAGGAAAGTGTGGGGCAACCTTAACTATACATATTGCTACAATGTATACAGCTACTTCACCTACAATGAATGCAAAGAAATTTTAATACAAGCTTCAGCAAAACCACAAACTGTCAGGAGCTTTATCCCCTTCCTCCCTGTTACCACAAGGAAAAGCCCAAACTAAAGCAGAAAGTGACCAGTTATTCAAGAAAAAACCACAAGAGCAATCATACACAATGTGCTGTCAAATGGGCAAAGTAAACAAGCTGAAGAAAGAAACCCTTTCCCTCTCCCCAGTCCCCAGAATTTTTCAGAACTTTGCCCCTTGGGTTGTGTTGAGCCATAAAAAATTCTCAGCCCAGCCTATAATTAAATATCCATTAATTAAAATGGTGACTAAACATTAGCTACACTGAATCGACAATAAAAACATTATGAATAGTTCATATAAATTTATCCATAGTGTACTTTAAAGAAATTTGAGCAAAACAGGGAAAACAGAAAATTATTTTGACAAATATATTTTGTATTTACAACAGGCAGGAACTTAAGCAGTGCCTAAATTTACCTGCAGAGATTGTTATCAAGCTGTAATCTCATTTAAAAAAAGTTTTACATAAGAGTAAGTCTTTACTGCTGCTAACTTCTCACTGGATAGCAGTAATGAGCAGTTATATTAACATTAAAGCTACAGTACTTCCATGAAAGCAAAGTGGCCTAACTGACAGACCGCCTTTTCCAGTCCCATTTCATCCTTTAAAATCCAGCCCAGGTCAAATTCAATTTTTTTCCCTATTCGCTCTTCAACACTTCATTTACTGGGCATAAATACTGATAAAACTCCCATTATTTTGCCACTAGTAAAAACTGCCAGGCAATTCTCATATGCCCTATATAATAGAATGGTTTAAAGAATCCTGCAATTCTCCTTGAATATGCTACCTGATCAAATGCTTTTAGCAAGTACTCTGCATTCAGCCAGTTATGTATAAGCACACAGGTTAAACAGTCCAATTTTCCCTGACCAAATGAGAAGAATCATTTGTTTGTGGAAAAAATTGTGCAATTCAAAATTTGCTCTCTATTAATATTCTATATTCTCTTAAAACTAGCGCTACCTGTTAGCACACTGACAGTAATCACGGCAAAGGAGGGCAAGATCAGTCAAAGTGAATTTAAGAATATAAACTAACATACCAGGCAGCTCCACTGCCTAGTGAGGTTCCATGCTCGGTACCAGCGTGTGCTACCTGCTTTCTCCCTTGATAATGCACATTACTTCTCATTTTTTTTATAGAAAAAAACTGAAGCGTCCAGGAAGACTCCACAGAACCCCTCTTAGCCTTCGGATGTCCTCTTAAGGCATTTTATTCACACATTCTTCTAAAAACTTGAATGCGTTCAGCTACTGACATCAGAGTTATCTGGCAAGGCTGTCCGTCCTGACCTTTCACCAAAACCTACGCTTAAATTGCCACTCTATGCAATCTAAGACCTCCTGTGAAGAAGGCTTTAGGACCCAGCTAGCATGATATCAAGAGATGCACAAACAAGGGGGCACACATCAGTGTGCTGAGACAGTTGAATAAGCTATACTCTGACTTTTTGCTTAGGGAAAAAAACAGAGGAAAGCAGAACTAAACCAGGTCACAAACGCAACAGAGTAAGAATACGTTACAATGCAACAAAAGGAATTACGTATCTGAGAAGTCTCCTTGGCACAAATTAGAATGTAAGGAA